TTCTGAGCATAATTTAGAATGAATTATCATAAAGTAAATATTTAGGTCAAATTACTTTTAAGTGTGAGCAAGAAGCCTAAGTTAAGAGTGCAGTAGTGAATGAGATAYCTGCAAACACAGCAGAGCTAGAAAATAGTGCAGACACAGGCACAGCCTTGCTGTCTTGCAAGGAATGGTTTAGAAAGCCCTGGGGGAGAAAGAGCTGGAGCCATTGTGGAGAGGAAGAAGTTACACTCTTCCTGTTATGACAGGAAATGCAGACAAATGTACTTCCTGACCATTTGCTCAGCAAGGAATGAAATATTCTTTGACCTTTACCTTATGAACATTTTAGCAGCACAGGACTAGTAAACATGGTTTGKTTTTTTTTGTACAATAAACATCTATTTGTACCTGCCAGAACTGGTGATAGCATACAAAAAAAAAAAATTTAAAAAAAAAGTCAGCCTGTGTTGTTGAGATTGTTTTGTTTTTTTTTTGCCTAAAATATGTACCTATCCATAGATCTGTCTATAAAGGACTTAATCTTATCTTTCTAATTCAACAAGAGGAAGTGAAGCATCAGAAATTAGTCATTATTATTCTTTCACCAGTGTTTGGTTTTAAACCTTAATTTATAAGTTAAATTGGGAGGCATAAAAAAAAATGTGCTGTAACAACAAAATCACTTTTATATGTGTTAATCATGAGCATTTTATTTGCTATGGCTATAATTTTATCCCTGTAACTTATGCTGGAGGGTTCTAAGAACATGGAAGCGGTCTTCTGAAAGTCTTTCATTTAATAGGGTATGCTCAACAATTTCATAAAGCAAGGTTTGTCTAGATCAGATTCTGCACTGGTGCCATTTCACAGTCCCATTTGAGGGTTGTTGTAAAGATTGCTGCATCCAAACTATTTCATATGACAAACAGATCAAAATCAGAGGAAAACAAGAAAAGAAACAGAAGAGAGAAGATGACTACAGCTTTTGCCTCTCCAGTAGTTATTTAGGGTTTCAACAGGATAGGCTTAGGTGTCTAGCAGTGACATTTCAGTGAAGAGCCCCTCTGATTACACATGGCCAGCTTGGCCTGTTGGGTAGACTGCTCATGGAGTATGTCCTAGTAATCACATACATCCTATCCAGCGTGCTATCCAGTGTGCTTGCTCTAGTCCCTGTGTCTGAAACTTAGACATTCCACATGAAATAAGGACAGAAAATTTCTTTTTGACAACACAGTGCACAGTTCCACTGTCAGGTATTTCAATGCATCAGTGATCCCTGTTCTTCACCTATTTAACGGCAGAAAATGTATTTGGGAAGAATTATGTGAAAATTCTGTTTCTCACATTTTCCTATGTCAGCAGCAATATATCTTTATAGTCAGAATAGGAAAAAGTAAGGAGAACACTGATATTCTGACACTGGCTGGATTGAATTACTTGAAACACCACAGCACTGCTACTTTGGAAACACAAAGTGTTAGCACTAAATGCTGTGAGTGTTAGTGACAAGTATGGAATAATATCATAGTTCAGCCTCTTGTAGTTTGTGAGATTTCAGAAAAATTACCAGAAGGACCTGAATTAAAACTAAAACTAAACTGAACTGATCTACACTAATCCCAAACCAACTCTCACCAAAAGAAAGAAACAGTGACCACGTGGAAACAAAGATGAATAATGTAGCCTGAAAGCTGTATTGATTAAATGAGAATATTTATGGATGCTTCTGTTTCTTCACTGATACATTAACATCTATAAGTAGTATAAAAATGATTTTAGAAATTTAGTCTAATAAAGACTATTTCCAGCTGCCAGTATCCCCATTTACAAACCCACACAGCTAAATTAAAATTTCAGCAGATTAAAAAATTTATAATTGCAACCAAGCAACATTACCTTCTAATTTATATAGCTTAAGTAAGTTTAATTTARTTATGATTAAACAAAAAAGTCTGCTCTGCACCAAATTATCCTCTAAATGGACATACCAATGTGTGTGACATGCACACTTAAATTCAGACTGCTTACACTTCCACTTGCAGATATAGACTAGGCCATTTGAGAGGTGTTTCCATGGAATTGAAGAAGAGCCAGAGTTGAAGTAGAAAAAAATCCTTTTAAGAATACTCTTTTGGTAATGCCTTTCTTTTAGTACATGGGCTTCACCTTTTGTTAGGACTTTATCCAAAGTGCACGAAAATCTCGCCTTGATTTACATCAAGGAATTGAAAGTTGGCTGCTTCACTGTATTTTGTAATCAAGTAACATCTTAGTTAACTCAAACCATATAAAGTCATCAGCATTAATGCTTATTCATATATAAAAATACTTCAGACTTTGGGAACCTACCTCCTTGGTACCACCAATCTTATTGAGAGGGCACTTAAATTTAAAATAAATAAATTAAAATTAAATAAGTAGAATAACCCTAGTTTTAAGACAAATAAAAATGGCTAGTGGGTTTTGAGTTAATACAAAGGGATACAATTCGATTCTTTTGGGGAGGATTTAGAAATAATTGTGGTTCTTTTCTGAAGTTACTTTCACAATACATTTGAAAATGCAAGTTCTTTATTAAAAGCTGTTGTAAAAGCATAATAAATTTACATCTATGTATATGGATTATGTATGTGTAAGATTAACCACRATGACTGACATATTTAAAAGTTAATATTCCAAATCACAAGCAGTGAAACAGTAGTAGACACAATTTCCTTTAATTCATTAATCAGCAATTGCAGAAAGCATTATCTGGTATATTTTAAAAATATTAGAAAGGTCATGAAATTGAAACCAAATCCATTTCAGAGCAATTAAGACTGTATATTAAAGGAAGAGAAAAGGAAGATCTAGATGATTTTGTTCTGGTTTCTGGGGTTTTTTTCACTGACCATAAAATGGAACTCTAACCAGTATCACTCTGCTGAGAAGTATTATGAATTAAATACCTGCTGTGCAGCACAACTGACTGACTTTTTAAAATGTTCAGGAATTTTACCTAACAGTAACCACAAACAGTGGTTTTGAGGATATTTTTGTACTGGGCTGTACTTTAATGGTGAAAAGCATGCCAAATGCAGAAGTTTCTGTGCAACAAAAGCCATACTGTACAGAGATACTCCACCTGCCGTACTGTGGTCAAAAATTTGATTGAAAGGTATCTTAAATGCAAAAAATATGTTGAATTACTACATTTTATTTTCTGTATCTTTAGTTATTTCTGAAGCAAGCTCATATC